CGCCCCTGCTGGCACCCATACCACAGACACACCACATCGCCCCTGCTGGCACCCATACCTCGGACTCACCTCATCACCAAACCAAGCAAACTGGAGACATGGGGATACAAACTGGACGAGTATTAGGCCATAGTAGAAGTAATAAAATGAGAGATAGTGGATCGATGTGCAGGGAAACAGTGAACATGCAGTGATTAAATAGTGGAAAATGATAATCCACCACCAAATCCTCTAACCACCCTTCCCCTCCGACACCCCAACCAACGGGGATGGTCCTTCGCCTGGCACTCATACCCCTGACCACCAAACTACTCTTCGTCACCGAAACCCAGCCACCACCACTACATATAACTGCCCAGGGCAAGAGAAACAGCAGTGATCATGACAGAAATAAGATTAATTGGGATGTATGATATATGATGTCATACATCATAATTTTTTTATGTGTAATAAGTCCCCATACTAATTACATCCCACATATCCATGCATTGACCACATAACACCACACCTGAGTGTAGAGCTGGAAGGTTAAGTGAAGCCCAGGATAAGATGAATAGCAGTGATTATGACAGGAATCAGATGCTGTAGGATGTACGATATATGATGTTATACAACATAAATGTTTTTAAAGTGTAATAAGTCTCCATACTAATTAAATCCCACATACCCATGCATTAACCTATAACACCCACACCTGAGTGCAGAGCTGAAAGGTAAAGTGAATATCTGGTTCTTGTGGTACCCAGTTGTAAATAGGATACAGGCAGGATGGCAGTACAGTATACCTGTGGAACATGTGAAAAGGCTCATGGGGAAAAATCTAGAATCACATGCATCCTTTGCTTTTCAAAACATCATGTTATTTGTGCAAGAATAAACACTGCAACCAAAAATGACATCTGTCTAGATGGGTGTTTCTGAATCTGCAACAGGGATGTGGAACTATGGACAGATATCAGGAAAGCTCCCAGGAGGTTAATAAACAATAAACACGAAAAAAAGGAGGAACTATTGAATAGCCTACCTGGAATATATAGAGCATGGGAAGATAGGAGAGGAGTAGAGTCTAACACACACAATGCCCAGTCAACAACAGCTGACCCAAAAATAAGCAGATACCCACTGGCAAAAACACAGGAAACAAAAACAACAGCTAACTCAGTCCCCAGCCCTAGGGCTGACCCAGACCCAGCCCCCAGCCATTGTGAAAATCCGGATTCAGTTAAAGATTACTCCACAGCCACCAACGCCATAGCCCCTAGTACAGATGTAGTAGAGGAGCCCTCCTCTGGGGTAGACTCTTCTGCAACCATTACAGTCATAGCCTCTAGTACAGAAGTAGTAGGGGAGTCCTCTTCCAGGAAAAATGTCAGTGCCATGACAGTAGATGGTGGTGTCTCCGGTTTGGCTATGGAGGACTGTAGTGCAGCTCTAGGGCCTGCACATATTAGGAACACATCCAGCACAAATTGTACCCAGCCAAAAACAAAATGATGCAAATTTTATGTTTGGGGTATCTGTAAACACGGAATATCAGGGAAAAAGAATGGGGCATGCAACTTTGAGCATCCCAAAAAATGCCGTGGTCTCATGTCTAAGGGAGTGTGTCGTTCTACCTTTTGCAAATACTTCCACCCTGAGATGTGTCAGTCTTCAGCCCTTGAAAAACAATGTTACAGTACCAATTGCATTGCAATTGCATACCATCTAAAAGAGACCATGAGACACACACCCCATACAACACATCACAGTAGCTATTGTAGCTATGACAACACCCCAAGTGCTTTTTTAGTGGTAGGAAACGAAGAGAGGAAATGGAAAGAAATAACCAAAATAGTCCACCACATTGGCGCCTCATTAGACTGGAGGCACAGCCAGTGGCGCCTTCGGACTCACAGCTACTGATGACAACAACAAAATCCCTCCAACGAACATGCAACACAACCTCATTTATATTTGCTAATATACAGGGCCTTAAGCCATCCACAAACAACAAAATACCTTTCATTAGTGGACTTCTAAGGGAGTCAAATGCACTGTTTGCAGCTTTCGCAGAGACCCACGCAAAAGATTACTTTGACAGATGCGACAGAAAGAACAGGCAACAAGGGGGGGTTGGCCTGTATAGCAAAGAGTCTCTAATTTGTTAAATTAGACACATGTGCAACTCTTGGGAATCTTTACTGAGGAAACGTTTCGCCACACAGTGGCTTCATCAGTCCATACAGAGGATAAACTTGAAGAACAGGAGGAGAATTAGGTAATCAGTCCCTCAGCCTTGAGTCGATGTGGTCAGTCCATCAATCTTGAACAGAATACGGCATAGGAGCAGAGAAGCAGCTTATAAACCGTATGGCAGGAGAGGTGCAGCAGTCGTAGTTGTTGTCACATTTGTCCAATGTGGAAGTAGGTCGTGCCCAAGGGTTAGGCAAGCGAAAAATTCCCAAGTATTAAGATCCCAAGAAGTTGCAGTGTCTGACAGGATTGTAGATGAATGTATGGACTGATGAAGCCACTGTGTGGTGATACGTTTCCTCATTAAAGATACCCAAGAGTTGCACATATGTCTAATTTAACAACATGTCGGTTCTTTGAACCACTCATCTACAGTCTCTAATTTGCACAGAGATACTGAACGCCACAAATGATGTAGTTGAAGTTCTGACAATAAAAATCGAGAACCAAAACTTAGCCATTGTACTTGTATATAAGCCACCGGATGCAACTTCCCAACAGTTCAAAGAACAACTGTCAAAAATTGGCTCCTGTCTGGAAAACTTTCCAGCCCCATCAAATAATGAACACCTAGTGACTTGTACTCACTAGAGTGCAGGCGAGAGAGATATATTTTAATCTACACCGGGAAGATTCTGGAGGAACTGGTCCCTAATATGCACACAGCGATCACTCCATACGAAAGCAAAAGACTTGGCAGCCGATGCAACTTACCCCAAGTGAAAAGTAGGGGCGTCACTGGTACACTACGAGAAAATGCAATAAGTGTCTGGGGCCAAAGACTGTTCAACAGCCTCCCACCAGCAATAAGGAGCATTACGGGAAAACTCCTGGTTGTCTACAAGAGGGAGCTGGACATATACAAAAAGACAGTGCCGGATCAGCCGGGCTGTGGTTTATACATTGGATTGCATGCGGCCAGCAGTAACAGCCTAGTTGATCAGGCCCTGATCTACCGGGAGGCCTGGTCGTGGACCGGGCCGCGTGGGCGTTGATCCCCGGAATGCCCTCCAGGTAAACTCCAGGTAGACCTAATTTGTCCGAAATGCTCAACATAACAAGGGGCTTTCTATCTAGTATCATGTCATTGATGTCAGCTATGGTCTGTATACTTTGTACATGTACTGGTAATAACAAAGATATTTTTATATTATATTAGTATATGAGAGTGAGAAATAAACATATAGGAAAAAAAAGAGGTTGGTAGGTAATGTGAAGATCTGTCATGATGAAGGAGTTTAGTGGATCCTGAAGATTGAGACATGTAAGCAACGTATGCGAATCTTTATTAATAAACGTTTCGCCACACAATGGCTTCTTCAGTCCAATACAAAACACAGAAGGGTTAGAAGATACACAAATAACCCGCACATAGAAGAGAGGAGCTTATGATGATGTTTCAGTCCGACTTGGACCTGCACATATTATTATTATTATTATTATTATTATTATTATAATCAAGGGGAAGTGCTAAACCCGTATGATTATACAGCGCCTGGGGGGATGTGGAAGGCATTCAGGCTTAATTCGGGGAACTGGAGCACAGATCCAATTCCCTAAATCAAGAGCCCCTCACCAACATCAAGGAACCTTCCCCGAGGGGACCCACTCATAGAAGAACTCTCTTATAAGTGCGGGTTATTTGTGTATCGTTCCAGTCACGGTATTGTGCCTGTTTTTGTTATTTAGGGGTTAGAAGATTAGGAGTTTGAGGTAATCAGTCCCTCAGCCTGGAATTGATGTGTTTAGTCCATCACTCTTGTAGAAAGTAGAGCATATGGTCGGAGAAATGGCTTACAGATTGTTGACTGATGAGAAAGCAGGAGGAGACGGCATCACATTGGAACCATCCCTAGTGTAAGTAGGTCTTCGTCCAAAGATTGGACAAGCCATTTACAACATGTGTCAGACACTGTAACATCATGGGAACTTGATACTAGGAATTCTTCAATACTTGTCCAATCTTCGGACGAAGACTTACTTACCCTAGTGGATGGTCCAACTGTGATCCCACCTCCTCCTGCTTCCACTCCCCTGACTACAATATATAAGCCATTTCTCTGACCGTATGTTGTACTTTCTACAAGAGTGATGGACTGATCACATCTACTCCAGGCTGAGGGACTGATTACCTCAAACTCCTAATCTTCTAACCCCTCTGTGCTTTGTATTGAACTGAAGTAGCCACTGAGTGGCGAAACGTCTTCTTGATAAAGATTCCCATATGCTACTTAAGTGTCTCAATCTTCACATATTGATGGAACCTACACAGTGACCAAGGTTGTTCTTGGTGGAGATTAGAGATGTTATGTCATTTGTAGCAGTGATTTACAACTCTGTATTAAGCAACAAGGTAGTATTGCTTTGTTTAAAGTAAAGTTCTATATTTCATTCGTGTTGCAATTGTCTTTTCAAAACACTGAAGGTAGACTCTTGCATGTGATATTGTCTTCTTCCAAGTAAATATGACTTCTAATTTTAGCAGGATAAGAACAATCTGAGCTTAGGAAGCTAAGCAATGCTTTAACATGTACAGAAATCGAGTGACAACATTCATTGGGATGAAAGCTGCATTACATGCAAGCCAAAAAACAAAAAAAAAAACAAAAAAAATCCCTGAACGAAAAGTATTTTAATAAGCTCTCAAAGATACTGAACCAAATACTATTATTTCAGGTGCACAAATCAAGATTTAATTGACTAAATTTAGTTATGGGATTCAGACAAGTTTAATTGAAATATGTGTTATGATTCCTTCTCTTCAG